AATAATATTTTCAAGAGTAGTAAACTATTGAAGTATAACATCTTTAGAAAGTTTGTTTAGTTTGAAAGAACAAACTATATTTTTATATTATATAGTTGTATAAATTTGATATTAATATTTATATATAAAATCAACTCTTCAAGTTTCTTGGATGTTAGTTTACACTTAATAATAAAAAATTCCAAGCTATCAAATTAATAAAAGAAGAGACTTATAATCTTATCAATATCACTAGCATAAAGAAAATTACTAACGAACAAATTGCCTATATTATCAATACAGTAATTATTCCAACTTTGGAATATTGATTATATAACACTATTCTTCCTTATACTACATATAACCAAATCTTATTCAAATATCTTATTGTAGCAAAACACAAGTCTCATTTTTCTAGATCTATACCAAATAGCATAATGTTTAACTCATATTTATAAAATATTTATAATATATGAAACATTCAACTCCAGCATTACATCTCTAATTATATTCAATAAATTAACAACTCTGACCTTCTTGGCATTACAACTTGAATTAGACTTCAACAACTACAAAATAACTTATAGTCTCTTATTAATATTTTATATTATTCTAAACCAATTATTAATGATCCTAACTGACATTTATTAAACTTTAAAATTATTTAATTTTTTATTTATTTTGGCTTAGTAATCTTAGTCAATCCTAATATTATATGGTCTTATACAATTAGTAATAGAGGCCAGTTACTAGAATTAATTTTATCTTAGCATTCTAAATACCTAATCTTTAAAAAGCAACTTAGACAATCAAATATTATGTATCTTGAACAAGTTTGCACAGCTGACAACAGTACCTTATTAGATTGGAAACATCTTTCATCTAAACTTTTATACTTGCCTAAGAAAAAAAAACCCCTTTGGTTTTTCTACTTAGAAGACACAATTCTAGCACACTCTTATTACTAAAATATATTACCATACTACCAATCATCTGGTCATAATTCTTATATCTATTATACTATTAATATATCTAAAAAAACTTACAAAATCTAAACTTTGATTACTTTCATATCACAACAAAGAAATTATTATTGAAAAAATACAAAAATACTTCACCTCATCTAACTATTACTTTATTACTTACTGGACTTTTAATATAGATTTAAATTACTCAAAATTCTATCCTCTATCCTTTGCTGAATACAAACAATGTACAGGATGCCACTTTAATTTTTATAAAATTAATCAAACTTGTACTGTCAAAGTTTTTGCAGTTATTTTAATACAATTTCTTGGCAGAACTAATTCTAAACACCAACTCAACCTTAATGCAAATTACTTGGACCTTATCTGCTTTATGGCTGTTAAGCATTTAAGCTGTATTCTTCCTCTATCTATAATTTTTATTTCTAATTTAATCACTTCTAAAATCTTTATTCCAAATGAAACTACCAACAAACTTATATCTATTTCTTAACTTAACCACTCTTACCAACAACTATCTTTTTATACTGATGACTCAGTAATCAATATTAGTATTGATCAATACACAATAGGTATTGGTTGGATCCAATTTAATAATAACAATTAAACTATTAACTTTTTTTCTGCTAAAATACAATTCTGGTCCTTATTATATAAAGCTAAGCTCTTCTTAATTATTACTATAATCTCAACAGCTTTACACAATTCAGTTGTCAATATTTTTTACTGATTCTTAATCAGTAATTTTCAAATTTAATAACCTTTAACTTTACTTAAATTACCTCAATAAGCTGTTTAAATTCAACTTATGACCTATTTGGCATACTTTGTTTAATATTATTAAATCACACAAACTACAAATTATCTTTCACAAAGTACAAACTCATTCAGATAATAATCTTAATGAGCAAGCAGACTTTCTTGCCAAACAACATTCATCATTGCCACTTCTTTTATTTAATTATACAAATCTTTATAATCTTTACCATATTCTTTAATGGGAGCAACATTATATAGAACTTTTTACAAAATATTTCATTAAACAAATATGTAAAGCCTACATATTAGCTATATAAGTATCACAAAAATGTAATAGTGAGTAGTCATACTTTCTTAGAATATTGACTGAAGATCTACTTGACTTTATTTTAATCATAATCAAAAACTTTTACACAATATTACTAAATTAACTAAAATCCTTTAAAATCAAAATTTTTCTTAATAAGTTACTAACATATCAACTATTTTATACTATTTACTCAAACCAATATTCAGATACTAATTGCTTTCATTGTAACCTAGCTAACTTCTATTCCTACTAGCATACTTGTGCTAATGCACTTTTGCTCAACCAAATTATTCAAACATCTACTAATTAAATCACCTTTAGCAAATTATCTAATCTTGAAACTTACTAAAAAAATAATCTAATTTATAAAATTCTTTATTATCTAGCTCTTAATCCTCTATATATCTTATCTAACATATTTTATTCTAATCTTACTTTCAAAAAACTTATTTCAAAGTTACTCATATCGACAGTTCAAAACTCTAACATATTATATAAAACTGCCTTCCAAGTTATTATTAATATTCTTTTTAATATTAATAAACAATCATATGAACAATTATAGAAAACATATTGCATTCATTTCTCTAACTGAAAAAAACAACAAAATAGATCTCAATCTCAACCAATCAACAAACCTTTAATATCATCTAACTCAGCAACTAGGCATATAAATTTTCATAGAAACTATACTTATTCATGCCTCTGTAAACTTTCAAATCAACTATATACTTACTTTAATATATATCCTCCTATTGGCCAAGCAATTCACAAAATTAATATTTGGTTTATTCTATAGATCAAATATAGCATATTATCAAATTATATACTAAACATTCAAATCTAGATAAGCTTTGATTATTCTAATAGGTTTAGGTTGCAAATAAATTAGTCTGAGCTTTTATTCTTATATGTAATTTTCAATTTATTTGTTTTGTACAAATAGTAGTAGCTGTATAGGTAGCAGTTTAATAGTTAGCCCTAATTGCAAGTATTGGCCTCAGTCATAGCATATATACATGTAACTATTTTAAATTATTAATAAAGATATAAGCAAGTTCTTACTTTAATACTAAAAAAAAACAAAAACAAATAGTAGTAACTATATAGTTAGCAGTTTAATAATTAGCTTTAAATGCAAGTGTTGGCTTTGGTTATAGTATATATATATGTAACTATTTTAAATTATTAATAAAGATATAAGTAAGGCCTTATCTTAATACCAAAAAAATAAAATAAAAAATATGAACATTTTACAAATAAAAATTTTACTAATTATTATACTCAATTTTTTTTACATTTTGTTATTATTTGTTTATAATTTTTAATATATTATTTGTCAAATTTTGATGTTTAACTATACTTAAATATATATATATAGTTATTTAATAAATCATTCAAAGTTGTTTAAAATAAAAACATAATTACATTCATAACATAAATTCTTTTATTTTGCATATTACAAAATACATTTGTTTTGAAAATTAGATTCTTCTACACATCTTTCTTAAATATATAAACACAAATTAAGTTAGTCTAAAAATATATATATATAATTGCTAAGTATTTACAATATACTAAGAATTTGTTTAACTATTTTTCCTAAATCAAATTCCTCCTTCTTCTATTTAAAATTATTTAAGTTGTTCTTTTTGAAATTATTTCTAAACTCATTGGGTTTAAAAAAAAACTAAAATCTGAAAGTTTGCATTTCATTTTCTCACAAGGTTTCTAAATAATATTAGTTGTTACATACTAGATCACTAATGCTTATATATTAGGTTGCTATCATTATATGTTAGATTACTACTGGTTATCCACCCTATTTAATACTTGAACCGAGTAAGAAAAAGTTGCTTTATTAACTAGACAAATGCTGTATTTATACTTTTTGATGTGCAAGTGTTTCAACCCCGAATCCTGGGTTTCAAACCCGTGCATGTGCTACTATTATCGAAATTGACACATCTAATACTTTACATATGGGCTAGGTGCTAAGAAAAGGGACGAAATTGACAATTTTTTCAAAAGCTGTTTTTTTACATAAATCAATTTAAAATAAGATTAGAATTATTTTTCACTTAAGACTCAAAAGTAGTTGTGTTAATAAAATTTTGCAATATAGCTTCTTAAAGTTTGCATTTTCTTATAATTTATTATAAGATTTATAACAAAAATTGATTTTCCGAAGATCTTTTTTTTTGTCAATTCCGTCCCTTTTTTTCTCAGCACCTAGCCCATATAGAAAATATAACGAAAAATACATGCAAGCGGAAATTTTACAAAAATTTCATAACATACATATGTGCATAATAGACTCCTGCTGTTAGTGATTATTTTTAGCAAATATATAGTCAACATCTGTTCGAGAAGCAAAAAATTTTGAGCGCATAGATGAGCAGCGTAGTTCAGTGTGCATAGTCCAAGCATCATAACTCAGTGTATGTGCTGAATAATAGATAGAGAAGTTTATACCATCGGTTTAATTTTGTGGAACCACATATTTCCCTCCGAAAGAGTTTTTTATAATAATTTCTTAAAAGCGATAAATTTCCATAAAGGCAATACAAGTGCAAACGATTCTTTCATACGTAATGCTAAAACTAACCAACTAAATAATTACCTAATAACTAAATAACTAAGTAATAATTAACTAAATAAAAAATTTCCATAAAGGTGTAGTGCCAAGCGCAAACGATGTACGTAATAATTAAATTAGTACTAATGATTAATAACCATACCACCTATACTAAAAGTTCATCAAGTCACAAATATGATTCAACGATTACTTCATATCCCCACAAAAATACCGGAGACGGTATTAGCCGTTGTAAATATTCAGATCCAAATTTCAGTAACCTTTTATTTATAATACGTATACTTAAATACATAACGATAATACATTTTTTACATTTTACATACGTATCAAATATGTTAATCAAATCAGTCACACTTTATGGACGATCCTAAGTAATACCAGCTGATGTCATTTTTTTTTCGATTAGATTTGGTTCCCCTTTGCCCATACATAAAAAAATAATATCCCGAATAATATCGCCATTACTATCACTGGTAATAATTTTAAGCTACCTACACCTATAGCAGCAATAGACTGGCATGTGGCTATCAAACTTCCTTTAATGATTCCAATGATGCCAAATCCTACAGATCCTAAGATAGGAGCACAAGTACCTAGAGCACCACAGGACTGAGCTATGGCCACCCAACTTCCTTTAATTATTCCAATAGCACCAAATCCTAAAAGTCTGAGAAATCCAATAACGAGCCAAGGACTGATAAAAGATATGACAATTATTAATAATCCAATAATAAAAATGATATAATATTCTGTTATAAATTTAACTATTGTTTCAAAGAATTCCCGAATTTTTTCAAAGATTGGTTCGAGGGAAGGAAATTGGATTTCAGGCAATTGGATTTCAGGAACCTTAACTTCAGGAAGCTGGATTTCAGAAAATTTAATTTCAGGAAACTGGATTTCAGAAAAATTAACTTCAGGAGATTGGTTTTCGGAAATTTCAATGTTTGAAAGTTCTACTATAGTCATATAAACGTCTGAAGGTTCATTATTAACCGCATTGTGGCCGGTAAGTATAACAGTAACATCTTCAGTGAGTTGTAGGGTTAATGCTTTAGAGGGTTTTTGAGGGATAGGAAGACTAATAACAAATTGGCATAAAACAAAGATTAAAATCGTAATTGTGACCTTAGAAAATGATTTCATTTTTTTTTTCTTCATAAAAACAATACTTTGGATTAATATATTAACAAAATGCTTACCATTGTTGCCGAAGTTGTTATAAAGTTACATAGTATTGCCGAATTCCGGTGGAAGCATTCCGTAATTACGCTTGAAGCACATACTTCATATGATACGATCGTTATCTTAACTTAAAATAGCAAATGTCCATTGACTAGATAGACACAATTGACTTTTATTTCTTATTGTCGACACTATTACAACTGATGTTTACTCGACTAAATACGGTCTTCCTCTTTTTACAATTAGATAATAATTTCTATATAACTATATAACATTTTGGTTACCCTTTTTATATTCAAAACATCTTACATAATCATTTTTTTAACGTTAAATATTTGTAAAAATAAGTACAAAGTACGCACTCATATAGGTAGGTATATAGTTGTTAATAAAGCTTATAAGGTAACATTGTGAAAGTCCAATCATGTTAATGAAAGTCAAAACTTATGTTCAAAAATTGAGGGGACCTATAAAGCAGTGGAAACTCATAATTTTATTTATTGAATTTGCTTTAGGGTTATGGCGACTTATGTTAGCGTCAGGCTAAGATTAGGTACGTAGATAAAATTCCTCCCCAAGATTTATAATGCATTTTTTTTAAAATTCTGAATATTCGTTGTTGATGATATAAAAGCTTAGCATTAAAATTAGTGAAACATCTTCCAAGAATATGACAAAAATTAAACACTTTCTATTATATAGCTAATAATGGATAAATTAAGAAAAATCTTGATTAGTAAACGCAACTCTTCGAAATATCAAGTTTTATAAGGCCATTACCCAAGCTAAAGTTAATACAATTCATTTGATATTATTAAAATTTGATACGTGTACGTAGTCAACTTAGCAATACGGCATCGCTGATGTATTATGTACGGCAATGCAGCATCGCTGATGCATTATGTACGGCAATGCGACATCGCTGATGCATTATGTACGGCAATGCGTATTAAGATGCTATTTTTTTTTTTCGGGACAACTGAAGAATTCCTGATGACCGAATCGATAAGTCAGGAGTTGGAATTTATGAGTATTTGATATCGGTCGACATCAGAAACTTATCGATGTGGTCTTGGGCAATTGTTTCATTTGTTCCAAAATTTATGAAAACAGCCTTAATTCTACATGAGCCGCAATGTCGCAATTCAGTAATTTTGCCGTCAATATACATACATACGTACAGTCGGCTCCAAAAGTTTATCACGGTTACACAAAACAAAAATTTTATGTAACTCTCGATATAGGAAACCTTCGATATAAGAAGCTCTTGGATAAGAAGGTTTTTACCAGTTTCAGTTAAAATTTTATGCTTTTTACATAAGAAAGTTAGATATATGAAAGACTTTGGCTGGACCCGGTGACTTTTTTTATATCAAGAGTCAGTTGTATTCATTAATATTTTGTATATTATTTTCGTGTAACCGTGATAAACTTTTGGAGCCGACTGTACGTACCTGCGAGTGAGCCGGGTGATACAAGCCTGGGGATCCTAATTAATAAATCGTCCTTTTTAAAATGTTCATTTATCACAATTCTTGAATGCTAAAGGCATCTTGGGGTTCATTCCGATTTTAACTATCTCCCATAAGATGTAACTCAACATGTACTAGTTCCCTAGTGAACGTCATCTTTCTCCTGAAACTGTGGTTACCATAATTTGGAGTGTCCAGGATTATGATTCGACATAATATTCGCATAATTTACATAAAATATGCGATTTTGCATAATTTAAAGAAATTCGCATAATTTAGCATTTTCACAATTGGAGTTACACGGAATCTTGTCATCAAATCGGCCTACATTATACTCTAACTCTGGGTAGGATCATATTAATAACGTGACCAAACTAGATGCACCTTCAAAAATCATCGAATTTATCTAACTTTTTATAGTATTGATAACGATTATATGCCAACTACATTCGTGCTTGTAATAAAACATTTCTAGTAAAAATTTCGAGCCTTTAGGTTAGGGACAGGATCTTTCCATTTGGTTAAGGTTCGAAGACATTATTTCACAAAGAAATTTTTATAATATGTAAAAGATTGTATCATAGTCTATATTTTGGACTACTATGTAAACATCTATCTTGTGGTATGCTCGATCTTGAGGTTTGATTGGTTAACGGAAATTTTTTCAAGCCTAATCCCTAGGTTTGCATAATTCGCATAATTTACAATAATTTGGAACATAATTCTGGACACCACAAGTCGAGGGCATGGTCACATGATAATCCGACCTCCTTATTGCTGTAATGATTTTGTTAAAAAACTATGGCCACATAAATTTAATATCTTGGTTTTCATAACATGAAACTTTCGATCAGACCCGGCCGGGTTATGAAAACCAATTTATTAATTTTGTATGGACTAAGGAATTTTTAAAAGTTTATTACTATAAGAACTATCAGTTTATTATAAGACTGTGTATGAGATTTTTTTTCTTTTCCGTTCAGTTGTTATTCATATTTCGGCGAAGGTGATCTCATATGTAGCAATACAACTCACGTTATCGTGAAGTCCTCATGCCAGGAAAAAACCATTACTATAGCTTATATCGAGAGAATACTACATATACTTTAATATTTCAAATTCTTCACTATATAAAGAGTTCGCTATAACAAGAGTATTTGGACAGACTGATTCTTTCAGTTATTTAACTCGTAAGTATATTTTAGGATTCTACACTACAACCTTTAATTTTCAATAATTCGATGTCCTTTGTATAATTTACAGTAATTCAAGTTTTGCAGTTCATTTTTAAATATATTCGTGATTATTATTTAATAATCAAGTATTGAATATGTTTAGCTATTCATTCTGGTCTAATAGTAGTGATTTTGTCTCTTAGAAAACAAGTAATAAAGCTTTTTTTTCAACTTAATATTCAAAAAAGGATTGATAAAAATATGAAAATACTGTTTGAAAAAAAGAAGTTTTGGAAAAATTCGAAGAACTGCACTGCTCTCTCGATGTGATTATATCCTTGCTAAGTAAAGTACTTTTAGCTAACTGAATAAATTAATATCGAAATTTCTAAAAAAAATTCTCAGTAACATTTGTTAAATAAACTGAGTAAGATAATGTGGTATACAGTATGGCCTAATAATTCCAGATACTGATTGCCAGAATTTTTTTATTTAATTTAAATAAACAAATTTACTTAGTTAGCGAATAGATAAATATAAATAATAAATAAAATAATACGAATTTAAACAGTTTATCTTAATTCATAGAAACTTTATAACTACTATTTTTAATACACCAATTACAAGTAGATAACAAATTTACTATGGTGCTGGAAGTCTATACTCAACAGTTACACAGAGTGTTTCAAATTTTTAAATGATTATAACTTTTTATCTGAGAGGTTTTAAAAAAATCCACCCAGTAACTTTATAGAGTTATATCAGCTCTACATATTTGTCAAATATCTGTTCAAAATCTTATCATTATAAAGAGTTGATGCGTTTTGAAAATTGAAAATTTATATGTAAATTTATAAATTTATATATAAAATTACAATTTTCAAAATACATCAACTTTTTACAATAATGAGATTTTGAAAAAACATTTGGTACATATGTAAAGCTGATATAGCTCTATAAAGTTACTGGGTGGATTTTTTTAAAACCTCTCAGATAAAAAGTTATAATCATTTAAAATTTTGAAACACTTCGTGTAACTGTTGAGTATAGGCTTCCAGCACCATAGTTAATATATATTTAAATGCGAATAAAATAATGAGTAGCATTATGTAACCATAGCTATTTTAACAATTAATTTTTTGTATTTATCAGATAAATAATATGAATAAATACGAATAAATAAGGGAATATTCACAAACTTAAAAAGCTTATTAGAGCGATCGATCAAGAGTTCTATATTTAACTGAATTAATGAGAATAAACAAAATTAGACAAGCATAATGTTCAGAATCGAAACTGAAAGTTGATTAGCTATTTCATCAAATATATATATATATGCATATGGACATTGTTTAAAGATATACAATTTAAAAATCAATTTATCTGAATGTGAATCATAATTTTTGGTATTAAAAAGTCTTCAGTTAAATTAATTATTAGCTTTTTTTAAATTGCACGTTGTGGGACCCGGATGGGCCCTGACCGCTTGGGGCCATATCCCAATTAGGAAAAGATCGATCGCATCTGTCGCATTTGTCGCATCCGTCGTATACGACCGATAGGTCGCATCAGTCGCATCGGTCGCATATGACGGATATGACGGATAGCAGCGATCGGTCAGAATGGGCTTTTAGGAAGCATCAGTCGTATGCATCGCAGAATGTAAATAGAAATAGATAATTATAAATAAAGGCCAAAAGGCCCTTCGGGAATGATAACTTCCCCTTAGCGAATACATAATACATTGCTTAAACACTTATAGTAAAATTGCTTGTAAACCGAGTATCATTATTAAACAATAATTGCCATTGCTATAATATATAATTTGTCCCTAACCGTAAGGTACAAAAAGTGTGTTCGCATATCTTGAATAACCAACCCTGAACCCCCCTACGATTAAGAAAATCCCATCCAAAATCTTGTTAACCACTCGCCAAATCTAACACGCCTCCTTCGACCCAATTTACCGACCCTAAAGGTTACACGAGGAACCTGACCGATTAGCGACTGACTCGCCGTTTTACGATTACAACGTCACTAAATAACGTGTTGATTTATTTACGTACGATATTAAGACTGAATTTTTATTTTACAAATTCCTGACCAAAATGTTTATTTTTTTATATTCGTTGATAATAATTTCCTAATACTATATAACTACATCAGTCTTAATCTGCTTACTTAACCAAAAGAATCAAAAAATTATGTAAACGATATTCTGTAAGTTATCTATAAGGAATTTTATGCTCATCAATTTTAATATATATTGCAAACACACTAGCCAAATTAGAATAATGTAAAACACACAACTACA